ACACACACACACACACACACACACACACACACACACACACACACACACACACACACACACACAGTACAGACCAAAAGTTTGGACACACCTCATTCAAAGAGTTTTCATTTTCATGACTATGAAAATTGTAGATTCACATCAAAACTATGAATTAACACATGTGGAATTATATACTTAACAAAAAAGTGTGAAACTGAAAATATGTCTTGTATTCAAGGTTCTTCAAACCTTTTGTTTTGATTACTGCTTCACACTCTTGGCATTCTCTTGATGAGCTTAAAGAGGTAGTCACCTGAAATGGTTTTCCGACAGTCTTGAAGGAGTTACCAGAGAAGCTTAGCACTTGTTGGCCCCTGTTGCCTTCCCTCTGCGGTCCAGCTCACCCAAGCCATCTGGAACCATTGGGTTCAGGTCCTGTGACTGTGGAGACCAGGTCATCTGGTGCAGCACCCCATCACTCCCTTTCTTGGTCAAATAGCCCTTACACAGCCTGGAGGTGGGTTTGGGGTCATTGTCCTGTTGAAAAATAAATGATGGTCCAACTAAACGCAAACTGAATGGAATAGCATGCTGCTGCAAGATGCTGTGGTAGCCATGCTGGTTCAGTATGCCTTCAGTTTTGAATAAATCCCCAACAGTGTCACCAGCAAAGCACCCCCACACCATCACACCTCCTCCTCCATGCTTCACGGTGGGAACCAGGCAGGTAGAGTCCAACCGTTCACCTTTTCTGCATCGCACAAAGACACAGTGGTTTGAACCAAAGATCTCAAATTTGGACTCATCAGACCAAAGCACATATTTCCACTGGTCTAATGTCCATTCATTGTGTTCTTTAACCCAAACAAGTCACTTCTGCTTGTTGCCTGTCCTTAGTAATGGGYTCTAGCAGCTATTTTACCATGAAGGCCTGATTCACACAGTCTCCTCTTAGTTGTTCTAGAGATGTGTCTGCTGCTAGAACTCTGTGTATCATTGATCTGTTCTCTTATTTGAGCTGCTGCTAACCTGCTGTTTCTGAAGCTGGTGACTCGGATGAACTTATTGTCCGCAGCAGAAGTGACTCTTGGTTTTCCTTTCCTGGGGCGGTCCTCATGTGAGCYAGTTTCTTTGTAGCACTTGATGGTTTTTGTGACTGCACTTGGGGACACTTTCAAAGTTTTCCCAATTTTTCAGACTGACTGACCTTCATTTGTTAAAATAATGGCCACTCCTTTTTCTTTACTTAGCTGCTTTTTTCTTGCCATAATACAAATTCTAACAGTCTATTCAGTAGGACTATCAGCTGTGTACTGTATCCACCTTCTGCACAACACAACTGATGGTCCCAACCCCATAAGGCAAGAAATCCCACTTATTCAACCTGACAGTGCACACCTGTGAAGTGAAAACCATTTCAGGTGACTACCTCTTGAAGCTCATCAAGAGAATGCCAAGAGTGTGAAGCAGTAATCAAAGCAAAAGGTGGGAACTTTGAAGAACCTTGAATATAAGACATATTTTCAGTTGTTTCACACCTTTTTGTTAAGTATATAACTCCACATGTGTTAATTCAGTTTTGATGCCTTCAGTGTGAATCTACAATTTTCATAGTCATGAAAATAAAGAAAACTCTTTGAATGAGGTGTGCCCAAACTTTTGGTCTGTACTGTATGTACATTTATGGTGCACTAAAATAACTTATTGTGAATTGATTCTAAATAAATAAACTCAATTAAACTGAACACAAATAAAAGTATTTTTATATAAAAAGGACAAGACAGAGTTTTGACATTATACAATATATTACACATTACACACCATTACACATTCATTGGCAGTATAATCTTCTTCAGTGTACAGGTCTTGACATTTCTCTGATAATAACATGTTGTAGAAAAGCTTGCTTTTCTGATAGATGTAGAAGAACAGAAGTCCTGCCAGTGGCATGGACAGCTCTGTGTTGTCTTCTCTGTGGGGGACGAGGACAGACTGGCTCCAGGATGTAGTTTGGTGTCTGGTACTGTGTGGTGAGGGCTCTATGTGCACGTGGAGACAAAGTGCTTCAGTCATCATGCTTGATAAACATGCTTTATAAGCCTCCTTTGTTGGGAATATTTCTTTACATTGTGACAGTTCATGCATGTTACTGAGTGTTTGCACGAAACAAACATGTGACAGATGGCAATCAATATCAACAGCACTCCAAAAAGGCAAACAAGATTATTACTTTACAGTGTTGATAAAAAGTATTCACCCCGTGGATGGGTTTATGTTTATGTCATAAATCCACCATGATCAGTATAAACTGGCATTTTTGACAGAAAAACTTCTTCAAAGTCAAACACAATTTTATTTTCTACCAATTAGTTAAAAATATGAAATAGGGTTTGCATAAATGTTCACCCCACCCTTTAAAGCAACTGTCCTAATTTAACTCAAAGGAGAGCGGATGGAGTCTAACACATTCACACCATCTTGAAATAAAGTTTAAAGTAATCCTGACTTGCTCTTCTCAATAATCTGTTCTCTGAGTTAGATTAGGAAAGGTCATTTTAAAGGGTCAGGAACCAGCTTACAACCACAGCTGATTATTCCTGAGACAATGGAATCACCACTTATTTACAAAACCTTTTGTAGCAATTAGACTTTTCTTTGTCATTAAAAATCTTTTTGTTGTTGTTGTTGTTGTCAAAAGTTCAAATTATATTAAACATGGCAATAAAGACATGAAACATGAAGGGGTGAATACTTTCGTCTGCACTGCTTGATGTTCTGAAAAAAGAAAGAATCACTTTAAATCCACCTGGTAAGTGTTCTGACAGGAGGGTTCAGGTGATGCCGTCACCTGCAGGTCACTCAGGTCTACAGAATAGAAGGGAAGGGGACGACGGGGGGCTTTTTCTTGYGTGTCATTGTTGTCACAGTTAGCGTGTGTGAGGGCAGCAGCTTCAGGGCAGTTCAGAGGGAAACATCAGTCCATCCTCAGACACTGTCCTTTTCACATCCAACTCCTGGTGATTCCCCAAAGCAACAGCAGGGATAAGGACCAGACCCCCACCCCCCTCCCCCTCTCCTCAGCCTCAACAAATAAGTTAAACATCACAAAAAGCAGGCGTCAATAACAAACCAAACATGAAGCAAGCAGGAAGATATCCAGTACAGTGGCATAAAATGTTCAGGGTGACCTTAGACCTCTCAGCCCTGCAGTTAGGGTCTGTGGACCAGCAGGAAGGTGGTTTTACAGCAGGAGAGGGAGACCTCTTTGTTCCCTTTGGCTCATAACTGGGGGGGAGGTGGGTGTCTGTGTTCCCCCTCCTGCATCACCGGCATGTATGAATCTCCACCATCTTGCGGCACTGTTTGCATTTCACGTAACAACACCAGTGGAACTTACAGCTACACCTGTCTACCACCTCCACTTCCTGTGTCTGGAAGCCACGCCCACAGCACATGAGCTCACAGCCGTCAATGGCCTTGGAGGTTCTGTTGCACTGACGGCCCACGGTGCCCAGCATACCGGGTGTACGAGGGTCGTAGTCACAGAAATCTGGACTGGGGTCCAGATAGACCAGGTCTTCGTCCGTATGAGGCTTGAACTGGGAGTTACGAGGAACCAGGACTTTTGTGGAGCCCACCTTGCGCTGCTCCACTTCAGTGGCTCCGTCAAACTTCTCCTTAATGATGTTGCCCACCTTGCAGAATGGTGGCATGGCCTTCCAGCAGGTCTTAACTTCACAGGAACCTGACACACCGTGACATTTGCACTCCACTCGCATGTGGGACAGGATGGCCTGCAGAGAAAAATTCTGTTATTCACCAAAACGATGATACTTTAAACACCAACACCTACAATGCACACGATTTGCCACTCAATTCTTCACTCCATATAGTCAGTTTTACAGACTTCTTGGACTGTTTGACATTAGTTTTTGTAATTCTCCAGTTGTATTTTGACAACTGAGTTCTCCTTGTGATTGAAACCATTTGAAACCAGTCCAGGATGAGGTCCAAAAATACACCTACCATAAATAGTGCTTAAACAGCACAGATTGATTGATTGACTGATGGATCGATTTATATAGTGCTTAACAACAACCAACTACGGTGACCAAAGCACCTCACAGTAAAAATCACAACACAAAAAAGAAAACAAAAAATCAACAATAAATGAAGACATCACTWTGCTACAAAAACCTGTCTAAAGAAATGAGTCTTCTTTTTCAATYGTCAGATCTTAGACATAAAGATGCCCGGTGGAGATGGAGCGAAGGTCTAGAGGGAGTTTGTTGCAGAGTTGGGGTCCTGCCTTTGAGAAGGCCCAGTCACCCCAATGCTTTGGCCTTGACCTTGAGCTATCCAATAAAAGTTGATTTGCTGATCTCAGGGATCTCCCATGTACAGTTAGACAAAAGCTCAGATAAATATGTTGTGGCAGTGCCAAGAGCTGTGTACGGAGCCCGTCCGGTGACATGGAATAAAAGAAAATTATCATGTGACCACGAGATAATAACGTGTGCCCATGCAATGACTAACGCGTGAGCACCCGATAATTATGTGGCCACCACGTCGCTAATTATTGTTGTCATTTCCATGCAGACTGTTCGTTGTTTACATGGATAAGTGTGAATTAAACTAAATAATTAATTAATTCAATAGAATGAACGAGGTTGCTATGTCATCACCTTACGTTAGGCATGAAGTAGCTTTTGCTTAGTGCTGCAGCTATAAGTCCCAGGTGACAACTGGAGTGTTTATTTTTCAAAAAAGCTTAATTTTCTTATTTTGAAGCTCAACTTTCAAAAGTTGAGCTGAGGCACAGAGGGACAGGAGTGCTCCTGTCCTTCTGTGCCTCAGCTGCGGAAGGAGTCTGAGTTATGCTGTGTTCAGGAACAGTAAAAAAAAATCTGTTTTCTGACACACAACCAAAACTTTCAATGCCATTTCATTAATAGCCTACTATGAAAGATGATCCATTTATATTGGCATGCACCAAATAATAATAATAGGTGTGGGGTGGGCTACCTTTGAACAGATCAAAACAAAAACAACTTATTTAAAATCCGACTCCAGCAGATGCGATCTGA